TGTACATAATTTTTTGTATATCAACGTATTCATACATTCACATGGGGTGGGGCCCGCTCGAATATTTATTCTATTTGAGCGGGCCCCACCCCATGTGAGTATATAGATACCTTGATATACAAAAAATTATGTACACCAAATAAAGCCCGAGTGACATATAACTAAACAATTAGTTGGGACAAATGATTATAAACTAGTTTTGAAGCTTAATTTAAATTATCATCTTCCGTTCTTTGATTGATGTTTGTATTTTGTTTTTACTTCTATTATTCATGACTTTGAGGTCTTGTTTCGATCATATTCTTTTAAAAAATACATTTTCAAACAATGATTCACATCATTTCAAGCACACATTTTTCAATAAAATAATATTATACGCAAATCTAAAATTTTCTCTTATTTTTTAACCACATATTCTCCATCAACTTAGTATTCCAAAATATATTCTTTTAAAATAATGTGGCTCAAACACAGACTGAATTACGTAATCACTAATTTTTTGCTTTGTGAGCAATAACCAGTGATAAGTTCAAGCGCGAAAATTATGGGGCTATGAATCATACTATGAATTGTATGTTATTGGCCACTCCAAATGAATTGAAGAAAATTCTCCAAGTTGATCCACATACAAAAATGTGATAACGACAATATATTTATGGAGAATTTTCTTCGTCATGCAATGATTTTAAAGGACAGGAGAACAAATGAGCTCAAAAGATCCATGCCCATAGCACAACCAATACTCGAAGAGATACAGTTTGGGATGAATGCATCACCCAAATTTGAGTCAATTGAAAAATCTAAATAGTGGTAATTCCACTAATCTTCAATAAAAGGGGGAGACTTTCCATGAAAACTTCTTTGTACAACTGACTGAGACTTTGAATAATAAGTCAATCATTCGACTCGAGAAAATAATAATTAAAGAAGAAGAGGAGCATGTAGAAGATCCAAATATTCATTGTTGAGTTAAAGTCAAGTGGTGTAAGCAAATCATATTATTTTGAGAAGATTAGAGTAAAATTTTGGAGGATAAATGAAGAATGGTGCAAAGTTAACCGATGCAAACTAGGCAAGGTTTCCAAAGTCAATCAAAATGTTGTGAAAATATTGTTATAAAAGTTGGGGAGGACTATAAATTAGCACTTATTGAGAGGTAACCCAATTATCTATCATTTTCTTATTATTTTGCATTAATTGTTTTTATTGTATTTAGAGTAGGTTCTCATGTGCATTTAAAAAATTAATTATAAAAAAATTAGAAATATTTCTAGGGTTCTTAATATACTATATGTTTCATTTATGGCCATTAACTTAGTAAAAATTAAATTAGCCTAAACCGTGATTGTATTGGCAATTATTTCTCAAGTCTTTTTTTCAGGTATGATGAAAATATTCTACAAAATACGCAAAGAAGACTAAAGAAAAAAAAAAAAATCAAGAGCTAGATGAGAAAAATCGTCATTTGACATGACGAATAGTTCTAACTGTTTTTAGGCTCATTTATTGCTCACATTGGTGTTGGCACTCCAATGACGGACAATTACTAGCGACCTGATAGTGTTTCAACGCTTTTATAATTTGTGAATCTTGAAAAAGGCTACAGATGATTCTAAATGAATTGTTTAGCTTTTGTAAATGATTTATTATATTTATAATGTTAATTCCTGCTACCTTGAATTTTGAGTAAAATAATTTTTATTATGTCCTAAACTATAATACTTTGCATTCTATTTTAATTATATTTAAATAAATCAAGATACTTTTAAAGTTAAGTCATGTTTGTCTTCATTTAAAACAAAATTCTTTAATTTTTCAGACTAGGGCTGAACAATGAAATCGTGAAACCATCAAACCGAACCGAAACCTTTTTTTTTTTGGGAAACCATTGGTCTGGATCCATGTGAATCCGTCAATGTTTTGGTTTTGAACCGAACCAAACCGATTTGAAGTGGTTTGATTTAGGTTTTAATTTCTACAAACCGTTCCAAATCGTCAAACCGCTTACCAAAAAGAAAAAAAAATCAATTTTAGTTTTAATTTTATTCAACCCCATTAAAAATTAAAAACCAAATGATGATTTCGACATATTAACTTGGTGGAAAATGAATGATTTGACGGATTATTTAAATGATCGTTGTGAAGATTTGACCAATGATAATTTCGACATATTAACTTGGTGGAAACTGAATGAAAATAAGTACAAGATTATCTTCCAAATTGTCAAAGATGTGTTAGCCATTCAAATATCTACAGTTGCTTCTGAGTTTGTATTCTCTACTAGCGATCGGATTCTCGATTCCTTTAGGAGTTCGTTGAGTGCAAAGATGGTTGAGGCGGTGATTTGCACTAAGAATTGGTTATACGGTAATAAGGAACCTATAGTGATTCGTTAATATTTGGACATTGGATGATTCAAAAAAAGCTCTACAAGGTATTATCATATTTTATCTTTCTATCCACTTTATTTTATAGCCTTTTTTTTACACCATTTAATTGTAATAAATGAATATATTTATTATATTCTTATCTAAATGCAGACAACGAATCACGTGTTACCATTGGAGATGTTGTGCCAATTAGTATTGATTAAGAGGTTAGAACTAATTGTTTCATTGCATTGAATTATTGGAAGTGAAGAACTTCTGTTCATAATATTCGCAATAATACTAATATTTATATTTTAATGTCATATTTAAAATTAATATTCACGATTTAACTTGTTCGATATATATATTTACTTATTTATTTATTTATTAAACCAGGGTTTTAAATCGAACCAAACCGAAAAAGGTCGTTTGGATTGGTTTGGTTTAGAGATTGAAGTGGTTTGGTTTAGTTTGAAAAAATTGCAAATCGCTTTAAATGGTTTGGTTTTAAATTTGTCACAAATCATCCAAACCAAACCGTGGTTACCACTATTTCATATTCATTTTTAACCATACATTTACATAATAAAATAATTTTACAAGAACCATTATTTGAATCTATAATTTTTATATATGCATCCTACTCTATATACATCCTTATTAAAAAATTATTATCTTCATCCATATCAAATTTCAATATTATTCTTATTAAATTCATTCATTTAAATATTATAAATCCATACAAATTTTATATATTTATCTCACTATAAATACGTTCCTAATACAATTTCGAGAATCACTATCAACATTTAATCTGGTTCTTACTTTTTATTTTCTACATTGTCATTTCAGTACTTTAATATTTAGTTATAAAAGTTAGCAAATTTCTTTTCTTGAATTTATAGGATTTTCTCAATAGTATACCATGCAATCAAACAAATTGCTCATCAAATCATATATTAATTAATTTTTTTTATTGTTTATAAGCTCATAATTTTGGTTATTTGTGTTTTGGTTGATAATTTTAACTTTGTTACTTTTCACAATGTAAAAATATTTGGACAGATATTGAAATTTATTTTATATTTTCATTTATTAAATCAATAATTAAAAAAACATAAAAAATAATATTCCAGTTATCATATCATGAAAGAATTATAGCTCTAATAATGTGTTGATTTTTTAATTTTTTTTAAATTTCCATTGAAAACTATATTTTATGATTAGGGTTTTATGATTTTAGTTAAGATGATATTTTATATATGATTATTAGAATTTTAGTTAAACATAAACTTTAAAAGAATATAAAAATGTTTAAAAGAATTTATAAAAATAAACATTAGTGGATGAATTTAGAACAATATATTTTTATTTAATTTTATATATGTCTATTTAGGTAAATTTACATAAAATAAAAAATATAATATAATTATCTTTTTAAAAGTGGATGTATATATAAAAAAATGTTAATGTAAATAGAGGTACCCTAATTTTACATATAAATTCAAAATTTTCTCAAATTTTTAACCACACATTCTTTAAAAAATTACTATTCAAAACCTCATTTTTCCTAAATAATGTCCATCATAATAGGGCTAAATATTTAGACATTTTATAACAACGTCGTGGCTTCTTTTTTTTTTTTTTTAATAAATATATAACATTATTTATTACTTTTACAAAAAAGGTTGATAAAGAAATTAATTTAAATATAAAAAATTGACTAAAATTTGAGTACAAATAATCTATTCCTACTTATATATCGGACTTTGCTACATATACATTAAATTTTACATAATAGGATATTTAATGTCACATGTCATTCTATCATTCGTTAGTTTAAAATACAGTCAAATTTTTTACTCAATCATTTTTTCTTCACATCATTTTATGTAATTACTTCTATATCATTCTTATATACAAGTAGCATAATCATTTGTACACCACTTATATATCTTATAATTTTATTCAAACAATCATTTATTTCAAGTTCAGTAATTTAAGAATATAAACCCATTTCTAGACCATTTACATGTTCCATTAAGACTTATTTGGAAAAATTATTAAATAATTTTTGAATTTCAACATTCCAATTAAGCGCCCGTTTGTCCATTATTAATGACAAAACTTTTTGCCCCCCTCAAATTCATTTTCAACCACACATTACACATTAAAATATTTACACGTAAATTTAAATTTCTTTTCTATCTTTTAATTATACATTCTTTAAAAAAATTACTATTTAAAAATTCATTTCCTCAAAAAAATAAAAATAAAAATGAAAGAAAGAAAAAAGAAACACATATGACTAATTCACGATGGAATATGTTATTTGTACATAATGCGGTGTCCATCCCCTTCACATGGAGGGCTATTTCAAATAATTTATTCGATATAGATCTCCCTTTATGTAAGGGGTATGGACATTGTAATGTACGTGTTGTATCATCGATTCACAATTAACACTTGTTTATGTCCCAATTTAAGGGAAAGAATGAATTTTAAATAGTGATTAATGGAAAATGTGTAGTTAAAAATTAAATTTTTTTTAAAATTTATGTGTAATATTATTTATTAAAAAATATGTGATTGAAAATAAGTTTAGAAAGAATACTTTTAGATGAACGGGGTTCAAACAAGCTCACTGGAAACGAACTAATTTGTAAATTCTTCACAGACGTAGGCAAGAAAAACCATTCCAGAAGAAAGAAAAAGTAAATGACGTATATATACTATGATACCAATTCCTCGTCCCATTAGCTTGAAATTTTATGAAGAAACTGAGTAAACTTAGGGATTAAGAGTCTAAATTAATTGATTCTCTTCAATACATACATAATCTTTGTGTAATTAACTACAATTATTTACGGAAAGATATAATTAATATGTGGGTCGAGCTGATTTGCGGTCTGGTTCTGTACCGATTATTTAAGCGCTACTTGTATGAAGATGATGCCCTCCTTGATCTCGATACCTCACATTCCAATGCCCTCTTCGCCGTCGCAAATAGGTATAATTTTTTCTTTTATTGTTTTGAACAAAAATAATCCTATTATCTGTTCTAATTTTTTATTTTTTGGCAGATTGGAACAGCTTTATTACGGGAGTAAGGCCTACGTTGGGCTTCAAATTCCTGACGCTGATTCGGGTTCTCGACAGAATATTGATATCGTTCTTGTTACTAAGGGGTATTTAGGTTTTTTTTTTTTTTTTTTTTTTTTTTTTTTTTTTCTTTTTTTTTTTTTTTTTTCAGTCATGCTTAAAGGTCTTAGCATCTACTGATATTAATATATAATTGCATTGTATCTACTGATTAATATAGAATTGCATTGTAAAATACAATAAACTTGTTTGTTTATTTATGTTTATTTTAAGAGGATTGGATAGAAAATCAGTAATGAGTTGTGCTGTGTTGTTTGGTTATACCGTCTGCAGAGAGGCACTGGTGATTTCGGTAATGAATGTATCGGGATTCATATCCATTGACAAGAATGGGAATTGGGTTTGCACTGGAGGACGTAGCAACAAAACTACGTGTCTTCCAGATCCTGTAAGTTCTCTTAATTTCCAGTCAATGAGTTTTTTTTAACTATAATAGCTTTTTGCCATATTTTATCATCTGATAAATTTGTGTCACTATTTGTGTTCAGTCTTAAAATGCCTATAAGATGAACACATTTCCCTTGCATAAACATGAAGTTTTATTTATTGCTGTGCAATGCTAAGTTTCGGCTATCTGGGATTTTATGGAGAAATTGTTCAAACCCTAATGGCAGTTAAAAGACTATGCTAAGGAGAAACAGAGATTTGGATTCATTGTGAACTGCGGACTTCTATAATCATACTTGTTTACTTTCACATATTGCTTCCGTTCCCACAGTCCTGCTTCACTTAGAGGCCGCCAATAGAGCCAACATGCTACTCATTACTTATTTTCCTCTGCATAAATACTATTTTGCTGTTGTTCTTTGCAAGTGTTAGGGCTTATGTAAGTGTTGTTCTGCTATTCAGACGGCTGAAACAAAACGGCTAGTTCCCATTCTTGAAGCATATCTTGAACAAAGGGGAGTTGTTGTTCCAGAAGGATATCTGTCTAGCAAAGTCATATGTCCCAATCCAAAATTTAGGTATGCATTGGAACAAATCGTTTTCATCTGCCTACTAATTTAAATCTAATATTGTTAAGTACTCATAAAAATGTTGAAGACTATACCTTTATTTTTTCACCATTTCCTTCTTAGCTTTAAGTCATATGATGAGGGCATTTATCATGGTATGAATTATAAGGTTTATATGTTTTAGGACTAGCTGTAACCTCATGTTTAATATTTAGACTATCATATCTATATAATCTTACCAGATTCAGTGCTATCATTGCCAATGAACCTTGTAATGCCAGCAACTTTTGCTTATTTCTTTTTGGGAATTTTAGAAAGCTTAAGAAGTTCAGAGTGATGAGGTAAAAATAAGCTACCGCAAACTTAATGGCATCAATTTACGTCTACTTGACAACTTTCAATAAATTTCTTTGAGTGTCATTTCCAATACTGATTTTGTAAATGTTGCGTTTTTTATCGCAAGTGTAAGATATCGAATAAGTAATATAATGGCCCTATGAGTTCGGATTGTTGATTTCACGAGGACTATTCTTTAACATTTAAATTAATTTTTTTCTAACTACTATTCGAAAAAGCAAATTAAGATTTGTGTGTTGTGATTTTTAATTTAAATACGTGAAAATATGTGGATGCACACATATTGGTCTAGAGATTAAATAATGAACAGATATTAGGGCAAAACAATTTTACATATTGATCACCTTTACATCTTAAATCAAGATTCATATCTAATGTAGTGTTTGGCTGAATTCTCCTATTGTATTCAATTTACCCATATCGAGTTCTCATTGAGCCTATTTAACTAATTCAATTTCATATATCTATGTGAATCAATTTTAGTTAAACGAAATCTTGGTTCTAGGAATTCACTTAAGACCGCAATAATCAGTATAAGTATCGCTACGTGTTATACCAATTTACCGGATTTTACTATATGGTCTAAACCATAAACTTACCTCTCGATTCGTAAAGAATTACAAAATCATCAAATTAGTGATCAATTAATTCAACGCATTAAACTCATAGTAAAATCAACACATGAATGAATAAAGAACAATAATCTTAAATAAAAAATGTAAAGAGTCCCAAGTAGATTACATTTTTCGCCCTAACAAGAATTTTAATTATTCATAATAGTGGAAGAATAACAAATGACAATAGTGGAGTCCACGGTTTTGAATCTAGATGTAGAGGAGTGGATGAATCTTGCACCAAGTTCTTCTTGCCGTCCCAAAGCTTAATTTCAAACCATTGAATTGTTGTTTTGATTCTCAAATTGTGTTTTATCTTCTCCATGTGTGGAAACTTGTATTTATAGTTGCCTTTTTGTTTGTCAAAAGTAGGGTTTTCATGGGCTTCAAAATGAGTTAAAAATTAGCACCCTAGTTTATGTATAGGCAGCATCGCAGCGCCCGGTCGGTGGCATCGTAGGCGCCCCTGTTCTGACTTTAGTTGCACCGTTGCGCCACAACTTTGCTCCCTCTCTTTCCGTAGTGCTTTGGTGCCACTCGTTCCACATCGTGCTTTGTCCCTTTTGTCCTTTTCATTCATCTTTTCTTTTCGATATGTGCCAATAGTTCTATTTGATGAGTTTTTCTGTGTCTTTCACCATCTCAACAATCCTATAAAATAATATTAATAAACACATTAAAAACGTTCAATACTCTCAAAATCTAGCTTAAGTTAAGTTAACATTAGCATAAACTTATGAGTAAAACATACTTGTCAAATATCCTAAAACTTAACAGTTTGCTAGTCCTTGAGTAAACACAAGAAAAAGGAAAATAACTAAGGACACAGATAATGATTCAGTCAAATGGCTCACCTTTTTGCTTAGCATTGAGAACATTATATCACATTCATGAACAGTTTCAAAATCGCAATGCAAGAGCTAACTTTTCACTTATTCAATGCAAAATAATTTTTTATGTGTAAATGATCAAGTGTAATGCTGTACATTTACAAGTTGGTTCACTTCCCAACCCTCAGTGGTCAATTATTTTATTTCTTCGCTCGTGAGATTCACATATTCCCAAACTTGTTTTCTTTTATTCTCTCACCATGGTGTAATTCTAAAGTTTAATTTTACTTATCAAGTTCTCACTTCTCACACCACTCTAATTTGGTTTAGTTCAACTGGTGACGTCAACAATTAATTCATGTGATGATTTTCCCTAATTATGAATGTCTCAATAATTTAATTTATACTAAGTGATTCAAACTTACTAGTTATCTAGGCCCCCAAGATTAGTTCTTTTGCGACTTGAATTTTTTTTAATTATGATCTTACCCCTTTTCCTCTTCTTGACCCCCTGTAGCAAGTGTTAGGTTTGTAACTCTTTAATTTTTGCATACTAAAGGGTATCAGGTTTCAAGAGACCTTTACGGACTTAATAACTCGAGTAAAAAGGTGCAAGCGTGATGTGTAGTTGAATAAGTGCAATGCTTTTTTCTATAAAGTGGAAGCGAAATTTACACGGGTTAGATCCTTAGCATTCGATCATCACCAAGTTTATACCAGAAAGTTAGAGACATTCCACACAATCTTTTTTACATGTACGGAATCACCACAGTCTTAAGTTATTCCTTTCACCGGTTAGAACGTCCTAAATTATTATGTATATGGTTGAAGGATGTTGTGAATCATGGGATAAGAGGTTAAGCACCTAACTTATCAATTTAGCCTACGCATATGAACCCCCAATTTCTTGTAAAGTGCTAAACTTAATAATCGTGCATAAAGATTTGTATCGCTTCACATGGATAGGTAAAACTCAACTCAAGCATATAAATCTTTCACAGTCCACAAACTAGCTCATGCTCTCAAATATATTCATCGTATCAGCTAGTTGTAGCTTAATTGATGTTGAGTTGACTTTAGCTAGTCCCAGTTTCTTGTAAACAAAATACGACATTAGATTGATGCTATCACCTGTGTCGCACAATGCATCAATTGAACAGGAATTACCAATTGAAATTGGTAAAGTAGAACTCCCTGGATCCTTCAACTTAGGAGGCAATTTGTTGTGCACTCTTGCACTGCTTTCCTCAGTTAATACCACAGTTTTAAACTCCGAAATCTTTCTTTTCTTTGTCAACATCTCTTTCAAAAGTTTTGCATAGCTTGGACATTGTAATATTGTATCAATGAACGGAATATTGATTTGAAACTTCTTGAAAACATCAAGAAAATTTTCGTAATTTATGTCTTGTTTTTTTTTTCTTGAGCCTTTGAGGAAAGGGAATGGGAGGCACGTAAGCTTTGACTAGAATTGGTACTTTGATAGCAGATGTTTCTTTACTTTCTTCATTTTCAATTGAGGATGGTGTAGATTTTTCTTCTATTAAAGCTTCATCTATCTCTTTTTGATCATCTTTTCCTTTTGGTCTTCTTATAGTAATCTTTGGTAATTATACTTCACCATTTGTAGTTATAACATGCTCTATCGACTTTGTTCGAAGTCTCTGTGGAAATGAGAGTGGAGGTGCATATGCTTCAACGTTTACGGGGTCCTAGGTAGATCATTTTCCACTATTATTGCTATCACTTGTTCCTTAAGATTTGTCATTTTATTGCTTGTTAATGATCCTTGTGGACGTTCTACGAGTTGTTGAGTTATTCGACCAATCTGTGTTTCGAACTTGATAAATACTTGCTGATTTTGAAAATTGATATCAATCTGTTGGAATACTTTCTCTTTTCTACACATATTGCTAAAACATCTCCCCCAAACTTGGTCTTCTCTCCTCTTGGAAATTATTCCTATATGTGTTGAAATTACGGGAATTATTTTGAATAAACTTGTCCTCTGAAGAAGCAAGCATCAAGCAATTTCTATAACGTGATTTCTCCTAAAATTCTCACATGCTAAATTGGCAGCATTGCATTTGCTTCACGTGTTTGTAATTTTACAAGTAACTCCACCTGCTTTGTCAAAACGAAAATCTGTGCATTGGTTGAAGCTGAGCTATCTAATTCATACATTTTCCTTGCTTTTGGTGGTACCATCCTTTTTGATGAGAACATTGAATAAGTAGTGGCAATTAACTCAAACAAATCCATGCATTGTTGCACTAATTTTCTTATGATTGATCCACCTGCGGAGGAATCCAGATTTTGACAGTGGTGAAAGTCCAGTGTAGAAATATTGCACTTGATTTCTGATGGTGATCCCATAATTTTGACACATTCTCGTCAGCTCCTTGAACCTGCTTCATGCCTTGTGATAGCTCACTCTTATCTCTGTTGTAAAGTTTGAATTTCCAATCTAATTTTTGCTTTCTTAGCCGATCGAAAGAATTTGTTGTAGAATTTTCCTGTTCAATTCCTCCCAAGTGGTGATGCTTCCATGAGGTTCGATATCTAGCCATTCCAATGCAACATCTCTCAGTATATATGAAAATAATTGACTCTTGATAGCACCTCATTAACCCTGGAATATGACAATTCTGACAATTCCTGAGAGATCTGGAGATGTGTGTTTGGATTCTCATGAGGTAGCTTGTAGAATTGTAGAGTATTGCTCATCAAGTTGATCCAATCTACCTTATCTTGAAATTGTTCATCCCAAAATCTGGATATATTATACTGAAACGTGTAGGTGCTGTTATGGCGTCAACAACATTGAAAATGGAAAATACCCCTTCATTTATTTCCCCCTCGCTCTTGCTGTTGTTCTCTCGCGGCCAGTTGTTCAATTGTCTGTATAGGAATAGGATTGTTTTGATTGTCAGTCATTTGATGATGCTAATTTTATTTGTGTTCCTTGCGTCTTTATCTGTATTAGGGAAGATTTGCCCAGGGTAATGAAAATAGCAAAATTTGGATAAAGATTTCACTCGGAAATAATGCTGGTCTACTATGAAATAGGAACATACTCACAAGACGAGTTTCAAATAGGAGTTACAAACTATTTCAGACTCTCTTTCAAAAAATAAACTCTATCTATCTCAGATCCTCACTTAGTGCTCCATTGTTTCTGGCATACACTCATTGAACATACATATCTAATGAACATATCCTAAGGCCTATTTATAGATTTTGTACGGCGGTTTATCATTTGACAAACACAACTTGAATTCCTCCTTAAGAAGTTGAAAAATCAAAGATGATCTGATCAACCAATAGGCTTTCTTTCCTTGCTTGACTTGGTACTTGTTTGAATTTTTTTCTTAGTGACGAAGAATAATTTGATAACTACAACTTATCCTGTAAGGAGGTTAAATTCAACTTTGCTTCCACCTCTATGATTTTCAACCTTATTTCTAAGAAGTAAAATCAAGACTTGTCTCCACTTCTAATAGTCTGAAGGTACGTTTTATTTCTGAATCAAACGGTTCAAGATCGTCGCCTTGAGTACGGAGTATACAACAAACGCATTTTTTTGGGTAAAGAAAATAAATTAAACAAATCAAATAACATTTAAAAATAAAATAAATTAAGACTAAAAGTAACTCCCCGACAACAGAGTCAAAAACTTGGCGTTTTTACTATCACAAGCGTACGATATCGAATAAGTAATATAATGGATCTATGAATCCAGATTGTTATTCCCACGAGGATTATACTTTAGCACTTAATTTAATTTTTTTAACTACTATTCGACAAAGCAAATTAAGATTTGTGTGTTGTGATTTTTAATATAAATATGTGAAAATATGTGGATGCATACAAAGATTGATTTAGAGATTAAATAATGAATAGATATTAGGGTAGAACAATTTCACTTATTGATCACCTTTACATCTTAAATCAAGATCTATTTCTAATGTATTGTTCAGTCGAATTCTCCTATTGTATTTAATTTACCTCTCTCGGATTCTCATTGAGCCTGTTTAGCTAATTCAATTCTATATCTCTATGTGAATCAATTTTAGTTAAACGAAATCTTGGTTCTAGGAGTTCACTTAAGATCGCAATAATCAGTATTGATATCTCTACATGTTATACCAATTTATCGGATTTTACTATATGATCTAAATTCTAAATTCACCTCTCAATTCGTAAAGGATTCACAAAGCCATTAAATTAGTGATCAATTAATTCAATGCATTAAACTCATAGTAAAATCAACACATGAATGAATAAAGAACAATAATCTTATATAAAAGATGTTAGGGTCTCAAATAGGTTACATTATTCGTCATAACAATAATTTTAGTAATTCATAATAGTGGAAGAAAAACAAATAATAATAGTGGAGCCCATCATCGGGTTTTGAATATAGATTTAGAGTGGATAAATCTTGCATCAAGTTCTTCTTCAGGCCCCAAAGCTTGATTTCAAACCCTTGAATTGTTGTTTTGATTCTCAAATTGTGTTTCCTCCTCTCAATGTGTGGAAATTTGTATTTATAGTTGCCTTCTCATTCGTCAAAAGTAGTTTTCATGGACTTCAAAATCTAGCTTACAGTCTAGTTCAAAATGGCATAAACTCAACAATCCTATAAAAGAACACTAATAAACACATTAAAAACATTCAATACTCTCAAAATCTAGCTTACAGTATAGTTGAAAATGGCATAAACTCGTGAGTAAAACACACTCGTCAGTGAACATGGTGGTGTAGAACTCTTACTCTCAAACCGCTTTGACCAAAAATATCTAGACCAGTAGTCAAGCTGATAAAGTTCATGAGAATGCCAGTAGTTTGATACTGTGTCGGACGTGAAGTGGCATGATTGAGCAGGCAAAATCATAAAAATATTGTTTAGTGGTATATCAGGAATCCACCAAGATCTTAGTCGTCGGATTATTACATTGAATTATGCTTTATGTTTTGGATTAAATCCAGTATGGAATAAGATGACTGCTTAATGTTTGAATCTAAAGTCTATTTCCCTACAAATCTTCAGTATAATTATTACAGTACATCAACTACTTTTGTCTATGTCAAGATTATAGTTAAAGGCTAAACTGTTTCTACTATTTATTTGTCCTGTAAAACTTCATTCTTGGTCACCTATTATTTCTTTTTTGTCTCTCTTTCTAACTCTGTTGCTCTTTCAGTACCATTCAATCAGTTTTTCCACCTGAGGTCATTACCTATGACCAGTGGACACAGTTAAAGCCCGAGCAAAAAAGTATGCTTTCTGGATGGATCAAAGGTGCATTTTGCAGTGCAAAGAAAGAAATGCAGGAATCATTAAATAAGAAGCTTTGTTCCTCCCTCAGCACAGCTCCAATGTGGGATAGGTCTGTTAAAGGTTTTATTTTTCATTGTTTGATTTATGAGGTACGTGTGACATTATGTTCCGATAAGTTTCCATGTAGATAGTGATAAGATTGACATAGTGTTGGTGTTTCACATAAATCTGGATGGTAGAGTACGAATAGGGGTTTAATTAGATAATAAGGAGTCTCTAAGGCAATGCTGCTTGATAGTCTTTTGGGAAGAATGTGTCTCTTGAGTTTTTAAATAAGTTATGACATAGAGGAAGAGAGAATGTAAAAGAATAGATTTAAGAGTATCTTGAATAGAGTAATTACTTCCTCCTCGGGATAACCCCAAGGAAACAGAAAATCCCCATTAATAAAAAGAGTGACTATTTATAAAAGAGAAGGCATGTAAATTGTCAACCTGTCTATAAGAAGCAAGTATGCAATTGGCTGTGATGCTCGGACTCTCTATTCCGGCCGGAGTACCCTTGTTGACACGATATGATAGGACATGGTTATGGGTATGAAATATGGGACAAACATAACACTTACGACCAGACATGATAGGGTGGAGAAAGGTGACGTTGCTAGATTTTTCCTACTCCCCCCCGGGCCCCCTCCTCTTTCTCATTGCTGCTCTTTGTAAATCTATTGCCGCCGTTGAGAGGTGAAGAAAGCCAACGGAGAAAAAGAAGACGAAGAAGAGGCCGGCGAAGAAGCACTATGCCTTCCCAAAGTTTAGCCGTTCTTCTTGGATGACCTTCTAGGTTAAGAACTATAGTTGGACTTTTATTAGGCTTCTAGGTTAATAACATTATTGGGCTTTATTTCTATGTGTATAAGCCTATAATTTATGACTTTGTTTGGCCCTTTTTTTATTTAATAAAATAATTATTAAAAAAATATGTTAAAAAAAGCTCTGAAAAGTTAATATTAATTTTTGAAAATATATATATTTATACAATAAATCTTTTTAACTCTAAATTTCTAGTTGATTTTAAGTGGACATATTTTATCTTTTAACAAATTCTCACTTAATTATTATTTAAATTTTTATATGTCAATATTTGAGGAAAAAAGTTGAAGTTTAAAAGACGTACCCACGAATTCGTGTCTGAAATTTGGACTTTTTTTAGCCATATAGGAGTATTCTATATTTTTAAAAATAAAAGATTCGATCTAAGATATGTATACTTGTTTCTGAGTTTGAACATCATAGGCAGTTGGGACTTGGGAAAGTTGACAAAGAAATAATACTTTTAGGCTTTATTAATGGGTCCAGTCTTAGGTTCCATAGTTGTATAATTCTACCTCTTGGGTTACCGTGCCTATTGACAAACACAAAAAATTAATATTTTCATTTGTATTGATATTATGTGTTACGAGTATGATCTACTATCATTTGCGTTGAAATTATGCCAATTTTCCTACAATGCAGGTTGGAGCTTAAAGGAAACAGGTTTGTCCTGGGAGAATTTATGGAGTTCAAAGGCAAACAAGATGATCTTCAGGCATTAATAAATATCAGGAGATCAAAAGTTAGCCGTCTGATTGTGCAGAAGATAAGCATGTTTGGTTTTGGTATCCTCGCTTACTATTGCTTATATTTTACATTTGAGTTTAGAAGACCTGCGTTTCCTCAGAACTTAGTATGTGAGTATAAATAATTTGCCTTTCGTGCTAAATAATTTGCATGGTTGGTGAGTATTGTCAGTAGAGATCCGTGAACAACATAATTAATGCTTGGGGTCTTAGAATTCGACATTTCTTCTCTCATTCAACATGGCCTTATGCTGCATTCTGTTCTATTATACACCGTGAAAATTTATGGACATGAAGGATACAAGACAAAATATGAACAACTCCATGATGCATGCTTGTGTTGTTACCACTTGACAGGAGTGCTACTTGAAATACTTTATATTTTTTAATTTGAGAAAGAATTTTGGTTGCATTTTAGTGATAGTTCTATAGATTCATCTGACAGAGCCTTTATCGTCCACCATATACAGCTCATACCAGGCTCCAAGTTTTGTACTCTCCCCGTGATTATCGCAATGAAGGGGCTTCTTCTTCTTCAGAGTGGAAAGAAGTGGCAGTAAGGTCAAGCACTGAGGTGGTATTTCATCCTCAGAATTGTACAAAAGTGCGAAAATATAAGCTGTCATCAATCATTTCCATGTCACTGAGCGCCTGAAAGTGAATAATGGTTATATATTAAACCGGGATTCATTTTCTCCTCTATTATACAGTTCCATCTTGTGATGTGTGTCACGTAATTATTCTGTGTATATATCCTCGAATATGTAAAATGTAAAGACTTGCGCATTGCTGGAGTTGTAGTGTCTGAGCTGTACCCTCCCATTTGCTAATACGGTTGTTTTCAGTTTCACGAGGATCAGACTCATGTCGACTTTGCTTCTACGTAGTATCTAAATGGCGACTTGATTGGGGAATTAAATGATGAAAATACATAATGTAAAGAAAATTATGATTTAATATATTTTTCTTATTTTATAATTGGTGACTTAATTCCAAATTATTTTAATTAATATAGTTGGAGATTAGGTCAAACTTCCAAAACCCACATGGATCAAGCGACCCAGGTTAAGTGTACTTGTGAGCCCTTGTTTGGTTTAGAATGTTTAGATATAAATTAGATATTTAATAGATTTTGGTAAAAGTTAATGAAATTATGATTGAAAAGTTGATAAAAGTGTGTGGGTTATATGAAATGTGTGATTAAAATTAAGAATCATTCTACGCTGATAGGGGACAAGGACTGAGGTGTCAGCCCCTCAGCCCATGTCACAATCCCCTGTTTGAGCAAAATAACTCTAAAATTAATTGTTGTTTTGATTTAAATGTTTATCTACTTTTTTAGCTAAACAAAATAGGGGTTAAATGTCAAGTCAAAGAATTAATTTGGAAGGATTTTCAACGATTTTAGTTGCCAATTCCTGAAACTGATTAACGTAAATATTTGTTTTAGGGGGGTCTCGAGTGAATCTAGAAATAAAATTAGATGGATATGCAATTTCTCATTTGAACGTGTACATGGAATCCATATTGATCGAAAGTGTTATATTTGCAATGGGCATCACGCGCAGATGAAGTGTAATTTGGTTAAGGCTAAGTTAATACGTGAAAGCTAATTAGTACTCTAATCAAGAGGGGATAAATATCGGCTATCGCTTTTAGGATATCATATGATATATGTGTTTTAAGACTCATTTTTCCAGATTTTTCTTCATTTTAGGATTTGAGTGTTTCGGTCCTTGTTTTGGTTTTCGTTCTCCAATTTGGTGTTCGAGTTTTCGTCTCCTACTATCAATTGAATTTCTAACATGAGTCCCCCGCTGTTACTGAGAATGAAAGGGTAGAGAGCTCAAACTATAGGTGAATACAAAAGTGCTGATTTTATCGCTTATGATAAAAATTTCAAAGCTTTGAATGTCATATTTGCTTTTATTGGTGCTAATCGATTCCACTTTATTTCAACTTGCGAGATTGCAAAATGTAGCACATATTGCAAGTTGCTTATGAGGAGAAAAATGCTCACATCTCAATTTGAAAATCTCAGAAATGCAGGATGATGAAAAGTTTGAAGATTTTTAGACAGTATTATGTGACATCTCAAACTCTTCATATACGGTTGGAAAAAAAAACAATCAAATGCCAAATTAGTAAGAAAGATTTTATGATCCTTACTGATAAGTGTAATTTCTACATCTATTCCAGCCGTCAAAAGTAAACATTTGAAAATCAAATTGATTAGACTGCTATTTAATTTAAGTAAATATCGATTTTTGTATAATATATTCAGGTTTGGATTTATTTATTTATTTTTTATTCAAAAGAAGTGAGAAATGACCAACGAAGAATGAAAAAGAAAGAATTCCAAAGTTTGGACTAAATTATAATTATATAAAATTATGATTCGAAACAATAAATGATGATTAAAGAAGATATTTATCAATTTGGTTGGATCTTAGAAGTGGATTACTAAAATTCCACGAAGAAAAGAAATGGAATCAGTGGAGCAGAATTCGAGACCAAGTTTTTGGGAAGTGCAGTGCAATTGCAATCGCGATCGCAAGTTGAAAATTTACAACAATAAGCTCCAAATATGTTGAACATTGCGATCGCACCCACAACTATGATGCAATCAAATGGAAAAATTCCTTGCAAAATTTTAGTTTCCTTATATGGTACAACTCCTTAATGGGAACCACTTCAAACATGAATTTGGACCTAATTTCAGCATCTATAAATTTAGAACATCATTGAAGTACCTCTCATTCTTGCAAATCAATGGAGGCCAATTGTCATTACATTAGGCGAAATCAAGAGGCAAGTACAAGAAGCTTATCATTTGAAGATTCAATCTTGATTTTTGGACAAAGAAGAGGAATGTGCAGCTGGATATCAACCAAGAAAATGTCCAAAGAGATTCAAGATTTCGTAACTTCTCCTCTTTTTCTTTACATATCTAAAATTTAAGTGATGTCTTACAAATCTAACATGAATTCTTATAAATTTATAATGTTGTGCCAGATTTTCAGTCGTTAAGATATAGATAAACCTTCTTATGAAGTTTTAATATAATCTTTAATGCTTTGATGCTCAATATGTGTTTATTATTCGATGATTGACATAAGGTTTTAATGCATTTGGGGTGATGTTTCAAAAATCTACCAGTTAAAAGAACTAATTGCCATGAAATACCGAACTTTCTTTTCTCCATCCACAACATGGCATCCTTCCCCATCACCACAATTCTCAACATATAGCCCGCTCAGCAGATAAAATACCGACAAACTATAAAATCATCTTTGTATTCACCCCTGAAGAATATGAAAGAAAACTAGCATCACCCAAAGCTATCAAAATACTATCCTCATAAGCCAAAATCACCAGAAGCCATAAACACCACCCTTAAAAATCCTCCTCAATAACCACCACGGATGATGAAAAAAAAATTCCATCTCTACCTTCTTGGAGAGGTTTGAAAATCAAAACCCTACGACTGAACGACATTTCAATCTTTACCTGTCTTCATAGCCAATGAAACTAGCTTTGAGTCCTATGAATCCTCCATTTCAAAAGAGAATTACCAAACTTTCCATATGGTTGATGAAGCAAGAAAAGATCCAAAAGTTGAATAACCATCTGGCGAAAGATATTCTTGAGAATATGATCATTAGGAACTACCTGATGCGGATGGAGATCAACCAATCACAAATAATTACTATTCTCAAAATGGTAATTTATCTATGAAATTTACTCCTGATGACATCTTTCTCAATGGAGATCAAGGCTACGAGAAATGATGTCATGGGGCACGACTAAATTAAAAAACCCAATATGACTCACAACTCAGTCATGAAGGGAATTTTGGCTAGGCTCACTGGTCTTATGGAAGAATGGTTCATATCTTTAGGAGATTACAGGCAACGACAGTGGACAAGTGCTCAGTCACTTGATGCCTTTTTTGATGATTTGCACTGAAAATTTGCAAAAAGCAAACATCCAAAAGAAAAGGTCCGTGGAGAATTCTTTAAATTGAAGTGTTGCTCATATGAGCCTAAAGATTTGGAAAGTGACTTCAAAGAAATCATGAAAAGATACTACGTTCTTGATGAAATGGATGATGACAATCTTATCTCTTCCACAATTTTTTGGTCCGGAAACCCACATGATGATGGACTTAAAAGTTCAATCAATGTCCTAGACATTTATCGGAGAAATTCATATCTGGGTATTGAAAACTCTGACGAAGCTCAGTAATCAAAGAGTGTTCTTCAAAGATTTCAATATAAAAGGAAAGAAATTCAGTAAGGCATGTGACCAATCAAACCTGAAAATCAAATGCAGACATAATGAAATGTGACTATTCAAGACCCATAAGATTCAGAAGCAAAAAATTCAAATTCTACAAAGAAAGGAAAGAATTTCCAAAGTTTTAATTTTATAAGAGACGATTTTCAGGAAGAAATTTTTAGCAAGAAAGGGAAACAGATGTTTTATTTGTGGAAAGGAGGCCACTTTGCAAAAAACTACATTAATAAAAGAAATGATAAAATTCTCCATCAAATCCTTTCAACAACTCAAGTTGATTTTGATGAAGGGGATTTGGAATCTTTATTCTCAGAACAAAAAGACTAGAGTGTCATGATGTTGGAATTAATAGCAATGACAGTAGTAGTGACAATATACATGAATGTTTTGGAATGTAGGTCAAAAGCCTTGGCAATCCCAATGAATGAATTAAAACTTTTTCCGGACAAATATGAAAGGCCCATTACATTTGCAAAATTGTTCGACATTGAAACAGCATCTTCAATGCTTAATCCAACCATACTCCCAGAAACCATGTGGAAAAACCACCAAAAAACCTTTCAAGCAGTTAACAATGAGTACTTCACTATAGACCTCATTAGGAAACTTGTGAAAATTTAGTTCTTCCCAAAACTATATTTCCCGTAAAGTATTAGGCTTATCATTATTTGGCAAAGATCTTGTTATTAGTTTTGATGTTGTCAAACAATTATGGAGAAAAGAGTTAGACCTCTCTCCAATGGTCTCAAATTTAAATCCTCCTTGCAATGAACCAATCACATATTTTACTCTTACAATTTCCACCATAACAAAAATTCTCATAAGAGATTGTTGTGCAAAATCTTATACAGTGTTCTTCATCAAATGTGAGATACCCCTTCGGAGAAACCCAGAATTCTTCATAACCTTACACTTTAAAAAGAATAAGGATGCTAATCCAACAAAAGCAAGTCACAAGAGAACGAGTCATGAACACTTGGAGCTTTTTACGAAATAACTAGCTCAATAACAATCTGAAGAACTTATTGAACTAACTACTTTCCAATGGGCATTGTCAAGCATTCTATGTCAACAAGAGAAGTGAAAAAGTCAGGAAAAGGTTAAGATTAGTCATTGATTATAAACTATTATACCACTTCTTTGTAGATGATAAGTTTCCTCTTCCTGATAATAAGATCACGTTTGCAAACTTGGCAAAATCAAAGATATTTTCTACGTTTGATTTGAAAGTGAGATTTTCAAAACCTAGAATTAAACGAGGAGAAAGGCTTATCATAGCATTTTGTATACTAAATCAACATTTTCAGTGGCCAGTAATGCCTCTCGGTCTTAAAATGGCACCATCCTTATTTTAGAAGCAATTGTGAAAATCTTTAAACCACTTCTCAAAAAAGCATTAATCTTTATTGATGACATTCTTTTGTTCTTCGAAACTGAATATAAATTACACTCCAAAAATTTACAAATATTTTCACAAAATATGGTATCATGTTGTTGCCAAAAAAAAAAAAAAAAAAAAAAAAAAATTATCATTGCAAAAACAGAATTTGATTTCCTCATAATGTACATCAAGAATGGCAAGT